TTTTTGCAAGTCAACTTCCTACGTTGACCTCTTGGCTTTTGCTCGACTTTTTGGGTCTGGCTGCTGCCTCTCTAGCGACTTTAGCATATTGCGGCTGATCCAGACAAAAAAGCAAACACAGTTGGATCGAATCAACAGGTTGATCGAAAAACGTCGCAAAGATTCAGCCACTACTTCATGCTACAGGATTTGAAAAGGTACTGTAGGCATGCCGACCCTCTCTGCCCGCCGGCATGTCCAACCGTCCCCTGCTATTTTTTCTACGAGTTCGACGTGCAAGATGTTTCTTCCTTGCTTCACTCTATCTCTGCACATGGGCCTGGATGCCGGCTTTACGCATCGCACGCATCCCATCGTCAAACTTCTGCTGATCTCCGCCATCAGCCTTGATCTGGCCTGCTGAGGGCGAGAGGACTGCAACACACAGACGAGGGATAAAGTGCTAGGCTACTAGGGACACCTGGATTGCAGCGCACGATGATGAAGTTGAAGCTCTTGCAGAGCGCGAAGAACTTGTCATGCTCCTCGTGCGTGTAGTGGATCCTCAGTTGGGGCCATGGCTGAGGTAGTTGGCTTTTTCTGGGGCTAAGCAACCTGCACCCACCAGGCACAAGCAGCGGCATCTGGAAGCGGAGGAATCAAACGAATCGGCACGGATGCGTCCAGCTCTCATCCTAGCGTCAACTGGCAGCTCATGCCTGCAGTGATCATACCGTTTGCGAAGGGGATGGAGTCATAGCGGTGGCCTCAAGGACGGCTCGTGAGCCATGGAGATCTACACAGAGGGCTCTTGGAATGTACTCCACGGAATTGCAAATGCAAGTGATAGAGCTGGCAGCTTGTTCTGAGTGCTCGACCGTTGTTGCTCTTGTCAGAACCTGGCAGTGACCCAAACGTCTCTCTTGCCACCATCATCAGCAAATTCAGCAGCTTCATCGTTGTCCTGAGAATCTACGGGCAGATGCTCTGTGCGAACCTCCATATGGCTGGCTGCGCACGAAGATCTGCGCCAGAGCGCCCTGCAACAGAGGCTTCCAATCGTCTGTTGAAGGATGCTGTCGCCAGCCATGAAGCTCCGGACTCTCGTCGCTGGTACAGTGGCCGGGCCTTGAACTTGGGTTCAGCGGGCTGATCCATCAAGCCTTTGTAGTCCTCGGGCGCAACGATGACGCAGATTTAGCAAAGGACACGAATGCGGAATGGCAATGGAGTCTGGCCTGCTAATTCCGGTCAGAGCTGCTGCAAGTTATCACTGCCACTACCGTGCGCTGGAAAACGCCACTGAAAATGAACCGCACTCTGCCACTTCAACGGCTGGTGCCGAGAGAGCATAGCAAGACGGTCCTTGGCCACCACCTTGATGGCACTGCAATTCACCGGGCCCGGGCAGGCGGCGGCACCTTCGCGAAAGGTGCATTCCTGAAAGTATCTTTTCGCTTCACTGCCCACCGCGTCCACTGCCCACCTGCTGCTGGGGCGGGAGCTGGTGCGGGGCTTTCTGCCAAGGCTTCCTTGAGCAGATCTGTAAAGACTTCACGTGTCTGCAAATGGGGAATCAGAGGAACAGCTACCATTCACTAGATGACCAGCGCCTGAAGCCTTGAGGGGTGCAGGACACAGACCGGAGTTAGGCCTTGATGAGAGCGAGCTGGTCCGCCGGCAGCTCCTTTTTGCAAGCCAGCAACATGAACAAATGCCCCAGACTTGCTTGCGCAACGCCTCCAATCCAAAAACACCATCGCAACCCCGTTCTACCTAATCTCTCAAGCGTCTACTACACAATGTGCGCGTCGGTTCGGAGCGTCCTTGAGAGCGGCCGCAATCTCTGCAGCGCTTTTGCCCTCGAGGGCAATCTTTGCATTCGAGGACGCACCAGATCTCAGTGGAGTCAGAAGCGGCGGGTTGCGCACATCGGACACTCGGAAGCACGAACACCCTGTGCGTAATCAGCCTTGCCAGGGACTGAACCGAAGCCCAACTGCGTGAGACTTTAGGTGACGCGAGAGTGCGAGACGTCAGCCCCAATGAATCCTGGATTCTAGCCGGAACAAGTCAGCTCAACCCTGCTTGCAAGCATTTGCAGGCTCAGCGGCCCCATGATGAGGTACGAGCTGCGAGGCAAGAGAGTTTGGGATGCCTGTGAAGCTTCTTGAGCCTGAAGATATCCATGATGCGTCGATGGGGTCTCATGGGGACTTGAAGGATGCAGACTTCCACCGTGGAGCCAACAGTGGCCTGCGAAGGCTAGGCTAGGCTCCTGTTTTTCCCAGACTGGAAGCTTCATCCGCCTGAGACTGGCACAGTCACAAACACCTTCAGTGGAAGTCCCATGCAAGTTGAAGTTGGGACAGCAAAGATCCCCGGGAGCTGAAGGGCCGATTCGAAAAGAGCTCCAGGATGGCTTTTGGCCAGCGGAAGCTCGACTCTCAGTCTGCCGACATTCAAAAGATGCCGGGAGACCGGCGTGATACAAGGCCCTCAGCCCCCTTGCGGCTGCCACATTTACTTGGAGAGGATGCCAAGAGCCTTCTGGCCCATGAGGTCGCCGTACTTCTTGGCCTCCGCCTTGTCCTCGTCCGTGATGTCGTCGAAGGAGGCGTTGGGGGTGTCCTCCTTGCAGTAGGCGGCCAGGCACCTCGAGATGCCCACGCA